GAGAGAGAGAGAGAGAGAGAGAGAGAGAGAGAGAGAGAGAGAGAGAGGGGGACAGCAAGAAAGAGAATAAGAGAGATTTCCTTTTAAGCATCTTCAGCTTAGCTCGACTGGTACACACACATGAATATGCCTAGGGAAATCATTTGCAGCAAATTCTGCTGCAAACTGGATCGCTTGGACATGGATTTCTGTCGGTCTGAGGGAGTAAAGATCAAATATAGACCTTCAGGGGTCTTTTTTCCGCTCTTCACCGTTTGTCAGAATCGTAGTGGATCTCGATGGACTGGCAAGACCAACACAAACTGTAAAACGTTGACAACAAATGTCTGAAATCAAATGCATGCATGTGAGTTCAGAGTATTTATTGCTCTATTCCGTGTCAACACAATTCTTTCCTGCTTCCTTTAGAAAAGTATTCAACACAAACGTGTCTGATGCATGATTCCTCTGGCATGTGTGGAGCCCAGTTTCTTTATACGTCTGTCCCTTCATCTCACTACGCTGTGTACTCTAGTGCTCAGTTCTACTTTGTTATTTATAGCCGGTCCCTCAGAACCTCCCAGCCTCCTCATCATCTTCATCGTCGCCTACATCCCGTCTGATCCCCTCTCCTCCTTTTCAACTGGCAGCCGCAGGAGAAGAAAGACACGGGGAAAGAAAAAAGGTGCGGGACAAAAACTGTGGCAGGGCACACATCTTTTTGCATTCGTGAGAAGCTGCCAATGTCTCCAGCTGCGCGGGGCTGAGGAGCTCGTCCAAACTGCCGAGGAGCTCCTCTGCGGCTGTCAGAGTTGCAGCTTGATGTTGTTACCGAGAGGCGGCGAGAGCAGAGGGAGAGGGCAGCGGGGCCGTCCCACAGGATGCTTCAAATAAGTCCATGTTAGGAGCTGATGGATGACTTTGATTTTGCTGTGACACATTTTTGGTTTGTTTATCTCTATTGATTCCTGACAGGGTTGACACAAAGGCGTATTTTTAAAAAAAAGGGAAAAAATGACTGCAATTTTTTAAAATAAAATCCCACTTTATTTCTGAATCTGTAAATCAAACGAGGGCTGTAGTAACTCTGTTTCTGATCAGATGTAACAATGCATATGGACAATATTTGGTTCCGTCAAACTTCTCCATCAAAGCCCTTCTGGGGAGTAATAGGCAATACAGCCCATTATACTATCAATAAAACATTGCCACTTTTAATAGCAACAAACAGAAACTAAATTCTTTCTTTTTTAACTAATGCCAATCAAATGAAGTTGTTACTGTTGTTCTCACAGACACTAAATATGAATCAACATGTGGATCGAACCGGCACAGACAGTGATGCGCTTAAGCAGATCAGGTATCGGCCATTATGTGACCCGTTACATAAAACACAGATTCTTCTTCAGTGTTTCAATTAACAGTTGGCAGCCTGGTATGACTGAATGAATATCAATTAACTTTTTGGTCGGACAGCAGTCCTTGGCCTCATCATAGATTAAAATGAGTTTCACACGTTTAAGTACACAGATTTTAAATTTAGTGAAGAGACATCGCTGGTAACCGACTGGTACGGGCTGAGGTATCACAATCAGTCTCCGGGGGAAAAAAAGTTGGATCCGTGCATCTTTAATTAACAGTCCTTTTTCTTGCTGAAGTAGTTCAAATGAGAAATGGAAAGAGAGAAGTTTTTGTCAGCAAAAGGATGAAAAGAAGGTCCACAATATTTTGAAACATGGATCATTTGTAAAGTTCTATTAGTGAAACCCTGCAGCCTCACACGTGTTGTACAGGCTGTGCGTGTGTCGTCGTGTTGGGATCGGTTGGCTCGGTCTCTACCTTGTTTGTTGTTGAGGTCCTGGGGGTGAGGACCCGGGGCGAAGTGCTCGTCACTGTACGTGATCAGCGGGGTGAGTGGGTGGACTGCATGGGACGGCTGCACCACGGGGACTTTGTTGGACTGTGGAGAAAGAAAAAGACACAAAACAATATAAACAGGGATGACATTATACATGCGCTATTTGGCCCTGTTCCCTACCACATGATCTGGTGACTGGTACGGCACATACAGTGCACGGGTGTTCTGCCTCCATGTAGATGTGGGTGAAGCTTAATAGTATGGTCAAAGAGGTAACGAAAAACTATTTCTTCAGATTTTAGCAGCAGCACCTCAAAACATTGCATAGCCTCGGTCAGCATGACCGAAAAAAAACCCATTCCCCCGAAGGAAGGAGGCAAAAACAAGTCAAAGAGAGAAACAAGAGCTGCAGCGAATAGGGGCGGGCGAGTGGTAGAGCAAAGGGAGGGGAGAGAAAAGAACGATTCGCAGGGTAGAGCTAGAGCAGTGGTCTTAGGCGGGAGATCAAAGGCAGTCATTAGCTGGTGAATAAGGGGAGTTCATTACAGAGCAAGAGCCGGGGGAAGGAGAGATGAGGGATGGAGGAGGAGGGGGAGGGGGTTGGCTGTGGACAGAGAGCACGAGTGAGACAGATGTCTGCAGTGGTTCTTAATGCAGGGGTAATCACGTCAGGAGTGTCCTGAGCACCGGCTGACTCAGGGAGACCTGCCTCCTGACAACTAAAATAGACAGAGCCCGGTCCCAAAATCCCCCCC